CATATATATATATATATATATACATATATATATTATATATATATATACATATATATATTATATAAAATATTATATATATATATATATTATATATATATATATATATATATATATATATACATATATATATATATATATATATATGTTAGTGTAAAAGGTAAAATTTCCCTACATCTGCGTGTAAATGATAGTGTCTAAGAAAGCAAATTCGGAGAGATAATTTCGAATTCCAGTCGCTTTAATTATATTAACTTACATGCAAATACCCTTGGAAAAATACGAATTCCCTTTTTTCCCCAGCTATGGGTTAAATAGAAGAATTATTGTTAATATTCACTTGAAAAAATATATTCTCACAATCCAAAACGTTTCGACTTTAAACGCAATTGCCACAAAGGTTTGATAAATCGTATAAAACAAATAAAAACCCTGCAAAAATCATATCTAAAATTCTGCTAAAATGACTATCCTGTATAAACTGGTGTAAATATAAACACGTTGGTCAGTATTCGTGACATACAGTTTGCTTGAACGAAATGAATATATAATCTAAGCAATTTGCTAATTTTGTGCGCATGTGCACATGAATAGGTGTAAATTTATGGGGTACATCTATGTATGAATGCTAATGTAATGAACTGGTTTCTCCTGAAAGAACAAAAAATCACTTCAAACAACAACACATCAGGAGAACTGACAGATATTTCAATATTATTTGAATCCCTGGGCAGCAAAGTGGAATAGATTAATGTTGGCTTTTCAAAGCTCTGAATATTGAATGTGAAGCCATAGATTGAGGATAATGTGTTGCTGTCTTCATCCACTGATACGATGTATCTAGTCATTCGGAATCAGGAATGTAGTTTTTGTTTTGTTTTGTTTTTTTTTTTGTTTCCTCAAATGTTAAGCATTTTTATCTTGTGTGATAAATCAATCAGTTACAAGAGGATAATTATCTAATTTCATTTCGAATTATGTTTCCCAAATTGCTTACTTTTTCACTTGTTGACCACATCCATATTTTGCTGGAATTGAATAGAAAATATCAAGAAAAGTGAACGAGAGGGAAAGTTAGATATATTTTATTAAATGGGATAGCTGTATTTTATCTCTCTCTTGTAAAATATTACAAAAATACGAACTGAATTAAACTTTTCAGTGGGTCAAGTAAACACCGAATAGTGTGAATGGAAATGATAGGATATTTCTGTTGAAAAGATAACTTTTATTAGATTCAAAGGTATAAGATTTTTCAAAAAGGGTGATGTACTTTTCCCATATCTTTCTGTCTTTTATTGTTCTAAGTAACTTTTACCCTTTTTTACTATACTGCTTTTTTTCAGTTCTATATTCCATCTATGCAAACTCGTTATGTACTCTCTGTTTATTTCTTTTGCCTTCAATATGCCGTAAATTTAAAATTTCTTCAAGATTTCTTTCCTCATTATGTTTCAAAGAAACTTCAACTATCTTTCTGATTCTAAATAGATTACTTGCAATTCCTATTTTCCTCAAGAATTTCTCGTTGCTCATATGTCTTTTTTATGGTGTTCTTAGTATTCTGTCGCTTCTAGTCTCTTTATCTGGGAAGAGATTGTTCAAGCTTTCACTGCCATATAGGCGATTAGACAATCTTTACTTCATTTGAAGTAAATATTTAATTACATATTATATAACAGTTAAACTTTTCTCATTTTATAGACTCAGATTCTTTTGTGAACATATGAATAATTAAATTCAAATGCATTTAAAAAAAAAACCTTTATCTTGTTTCTTGGATACTTTGTCATAATTTTCCATAAAATATTAAAGTGGAAAAAAGTTTTTGTGCGTCGCGTTTTCTCATTTGAATCTTCATTGAATTAAAGTGATGCTTACGTTGGTGCGACAACACATGCGCACGAAGGAAAGTGGACGCTGGTAAATTTATTTATTTTAATATATATTTTAGGCGTATAGTCAAGCCGATTTCATTTAGTTTCTTTTCTTTTTCTAAACCTATACTTGATATATCAAAACGTATATATCGTTTTCCCATACTGTTATATAAATGGGTGGCGATGCAGCTCAGACCAGACACCAGGTTCGTTCTCAGGGTGCAGCTTCTTGCAGTCGAACGTTTGTAGTTTAATACATGGAAAATAACTCTTTGGCCAAATCGTTACTCACGAAACAATGATTTCTTTTAAAGTTATGGAATAACCCATTATTATTTATTCATTAACCCATATTTCAAAAGTAGCTCAATCATACTTAATAATGTCATTCAATAAACATTTCATTTATTCATTAACTCATTCCATTTATATATCGTTCCCCATACTTTTATAGAAATGGATAGCGTTGCAACTCAGACCAGACGCCAAGTTCATTCCTAGGGTGCAGCATTTTCCTGTTAAACGCATGTGGCTTAATCCATGCAATTTTGGCCAGGAAACTCACGAATTAATGAATTCTTTAGAGCAATGGGATAACCCATTGGAATATTTGTCGCTGTTTTATTTAAGTACGTTTAAATTCCCAATGCTAATTTTAAAGCTCTGTCATTTTAATGTATTTTCCATTATTTAAAGGAAAACTTATAAAACAAAGTATAATAAAAACGGTTTTGAAGTAAACGACAATTTCTTCATCAGTTAATTAATAAAATTCCATAGATTTTTCTTTAGAATTGTTCCTTCCTAGATCAAATGAGAACCTTCAATCGTCTCTTAACCCTTTTAATCAAAATCTCGGATACATCTTTAAAAAAATGTAAGTGACCATTCATTTCTTTCTATAAGCTTTTATGTTTTCCTTGTGAAAAACGCAGTGAATATGTTTCAACATTGAGAATTGTCCTATTCATCTACCTTCGTCATAATAAAGCAAGAAAATAATTAGAAAGAAGCTTTCTTTATATTATTTCGGTTGTAGTTGTTGATGAAATAAAGTAAGAAACGAAGACTTCCATTCTAGTTTCGAGTAATTTTTAAATAAAAAAGAATTCAGAAGCAATATTACCGAAAACGAAAGAACAGCAATAGACGATGTGTCCAATTAATTCGCCTGGATAAAACCTGTTATTCAGGTTTGCCATCATCCGAAGGAAATATGTGAACACGAGTTTCGATACTGTTTGTGTGGACGCCTCAGAATCTGTATTTGATTGAACAGTCATGTACACGAGCCTTGTTCGTAGCAACTGAATACAACGAATGCTGAGGACAAAAGAATACACAATGTAAGGATTATAATCGGACAGGTTTTTCACTATACAACACATATGAACCCGAGGCAAATCTGGATAACGTATTGCATAATATCCGGTAAGTGGAGCAAACAAACCTGCTGGTGGCAACTTTTTTCCAGCATCTGGATTTAGTGGAGATGTTTGGGGGTAACAAGTTAAAAGCATTGAATATATCGACTCTTTTGTTAAATTTGTCCTGCAGAAAAAAAAGCTTATTTTAAAGACTCACTTTTGATTTATCTAAAAACATTTGTTGGGATATTCCTTGTAAATTAGGATTAGGTACGTAGTTTGAATGAAAATAATAGAGAAATCACAGAAATAAGCTTGTAAAATATATAAAGTGACTTTTTAACCAAGCATTGAAAAACGACACGGCTAAAATATGGCAACTGTCTATAAGTGCTAAGAAAGGTGATACTAATGTTATTAGACATTGCTATTTTCCGACAGGAATTTTTATTGAAAAATATTTTATAATATAAGTTAAACTTCGATAGCATCGCTGTTTGGAGATTTTAAAGAAATTAACCATTCAGGTATCGACTTTATTAAATCTGCAAGTATCTCTTGTGGTTTATCTGACCAGAGTGAATCGTATGCACAGCAGCGATCTTATTTTTGTCGAAGAGTCTCTAGATATTTTTTGATCCCAAATGGTCGAAACATCTAATAGTATTCGTGTCATGAAACCCACTTGACCATAGTAGCTGGTTATTTCTTTTGGAACCAAATGTTTTCGTTTCTTTTTTTGTGTATAACATTGGACCCAATGAGAACTTTGCTTGCTTGTTAGTTCAGATAAATGTCAGTATATATGCATAATAGCCGACTACTTGTTTCCAGCCACGCTCGTTTACTACGTTGGATAGCCTACCTTGGGACAAACGACTGCCCAGGCATATTTGAGTTGGTTCAACACCCATAGAGCCCACTCACGGTTTATACCGCAACAATGCTAAGCGGTTTCTAGTTGAGATTTCTGGGAGCAAGCGCTTAAATTGGCGTGATCAGTGGTTTCAACAAGGTCAGTACGCTCGGTCACGATGACTTGTAACTTCGTGCTAGTATAAATATCTATGTTTTCCTAACAGTTCCATCTAACCAAGAAAGAAAGAAATCGTAGAAAGAATGGACAAAGAATGAAAGAAAGACGTATTGGAAAATGTCCGAAAAAAAAACAAATGAAAGAAATACGTATTGGTAGAAAGAAAGAAAAAAAAAAAAAAGAAAGACATATTGAATAAATGGCAGAAAGAAAAAAGAAAGACGTATTGAAAAACGAACAGAAAGAAAGAAAAAAGAATGAAAGAAAGACGTATTGAATAACAGGCAAAAAGAAAGAAAGAAAAAGTATGAAAGACGAATTGAATAAATGACAAAAAAAAAACGAAAAAAGAATGAAAGAAAGACGAATTGAATAAATGGCAGAAAGAAAAAAGAATGAAAGACGTTTTCAATAAATGGCAGAAAGGGGAAAATGAAAAAAAGACGTATTGAATAAAAAAGAATGAAAGAAAGACATATTGAATAAATGGCAGAAAGTAAAAACGAATGAAGAACGTATTGAATAAATAGCAGAAAGGAAAAAGAATGAAAGAAATACGTATTGAAAAAAATGGCAGAAAGAAGGAAAAAAGAATGAAAGAAAGACATGTTGAGTAAATGTCAGAAAAAAGAAAGAAGAAAAAAGACCCGTTGAATAAATGACAGAAAGAAGGAGAAAAAATGAAAAAAGGCGTCTTGAATAAATGGCAAAAAGAAAAAATTAGATGGATGACAAAAAGGAAGAATTAAAAGATTCGATAGATAGCAAAAAGAATGAAAGAAAAAGAAAAATATTGGACAGAAGTGAAAGAAAGAAAACATTGGATAGGTCTAAGTAAAAAAAAGGAGAAAAGCAAATATTGGATAGATTTAGGAAGAAAAAGAAAAAAGATTGGATAGATGGAAGAAAGAAAAAAGAAAATTGAATACATGTAAAAAAGAAAGAAGATTGGAGAGATGAAAGAAACAAAACAGATACAGAAACAATATTAAATAAACGGAAGAAAGAAAGAAAAAGAGAAAAAAGATTGGAGAGATGAAGAAGAAAATAAAGAGATAATGAAAATATTAGATGGCAGATTGAAAAAAAAAAAATGAAAAATTGGATAGAGGCAAGAAAGAAAAAAAAAGAATGACTAAACGGCAGAAACAAAGAGAAAGAAGAAAGAAAAGATTGACTATATGGCAGAAGGAAAGAAGAAAAATATTTGATAGAAGAGAGAGAGAAAGAAAAGTGTGATTAGATGGAAGAAAGAAAAAAAAGATTGACTAGATGACTGAAAGAAGGAAAAAACTGACGAGATCGCAGAAAAGAGAGAAAGAAAGAAAAGATTTTCTAGATGGCAGAGAGAAAGGAAAAAAGAAATGAAAAGAGACTAGATGACAGAAAGGAAAAAAGGAATGAAATGATTGAATAGATGACAGATAAAAAAGAAAAAAGAATGACTAGATGGCAGAAAGAAAGGGAAAAGATTATCTAGATGGCAGAAGAGAAAGAAACAGACAAAAGAAAGATTCACTATATGGCAGAAGGAAAGATTAACTAGATGACGGAATGAAAGAAAGAAAGGATTGACTAGATGGCAGAAAGAATAAAGAAAGAAAGGATTGACTAGATGGCAGAAAGAATAAAGAAAGAAAGGATTGACTAGATGGCAGAAAGAATAAAGAAAGAAAGGATTGACTAGATGGCAGAAAGAATAAAGAAAGGAAGGATTGACTAGATGGCAGAAAGAATAAAGAAAGGAAGGATTGACTAGATGGCAGAAAGAATAAAGAAAGGGAGGATTGACAAGACGACAGAAAGAATAAAGAAAGGGAGGATTGACAAGACGACAGAAAGAATAAAGAAAGGGAGGATTGACAAGACGACAGAAAGAATAAAGAAAGGGAGGATTGACAAGACGACAGAAAGAATAAAGAAAGGGAGGATTGACAAGACGACAGAAAGAATAAAGAAAGGGAGGATTGACAAGACGACAGAAAAGAATTGACAAGACGACAGGGAGGATTGACAAGACGACAGAAAGAATAAAGAAAGGGAGGATTGACAAGACGACAGAAAGAATAAAGAAAGAGAGGATTGACAAGATGGCAGAAAGAAAGAAAAAATAAAGAAAAGATTGACTAGCTGGCAGAATAAAGAAATGAGTCGATGGCAGAAGGAAACAACGAAAAGACTGAGTAGCTGGCAAAAAGAAAGACGAGTTTGACTAGATGGCGAAAAGAAAGGAAGAAAGAATTTGATAGGTGGCAGAAATGAAAGAAAAGAATGAATAGATGGCAGAATGACAATAAGTAATGAAGACAAACAGTGAATATGTAGCAGAAAGGAAGAAAGAAACATCAACAACTGGAATAAGTGGCAGAAAGAAAGATATATTGCATACATAGCAGAATAAAGAATGAAAGAAAGACGTTTGATAAATATAAAGAAAGATAGCTTGCTTGATTCATTTTCTGCAGTTTATCAAACAATTGCACGTTATCTAAAGCCACAAAATAGTTTTAGATTGTAAGGATAATTTTTGGATATAATAATGATTTAGTGATACAAGTTTCACTAATTAATCTATAAGTAGCTGAGAGGATATGGGTTCATACCTTTCCGAATTAAATTTGATCAACTGGAATTGGAACTCGGCTATCCGATTAACAACTCTTAACAATTGCACACCCATGCTTACAGGACCAAGATGTTGCCGATCTAGGTGCTGACCAGGCTCGACGTTGCTTAACTTACAAGAATTGTTGATCAAACCTGGTGTAAGATCAAAAGAAAGGAAACGAGGACAGATTATATAGATAGATAAATATAAAGAAAGAAAGACTGCATAAACAGCAGAAAGAAAGAAAAAAGTAGGAATGGATAAATAGAAAGAAACAAAAAATATTGCATAAATGGCAGCAACAAAGAAAGAAACAAATATTGCATAAACGACAGAAAGAACGAAATATTGCATAGTTAGCAGAAACAAGGAAGGAAATAATGAATTAATAACAGCAAGAAGGAAATGTTGAATAAACAGCAGAAAAAAGAATGAACTATTGTATGAAATAGAAAGACAATATGTAAATATCAAAAGTTATGAAAGACAGATAAAAACCAAAAAGAATAAAAGAGTTATTGGTCGAAAGAAAGAAAAAGAATTTTGGATAAATAGCAGAAGCAGAGTGGAATAGAATTTTCATAAAAGAGAATTGGATAGAGTTTTGATAAATAATTGATAGAGAGAATTTTGATAAATAGAGAGATAGTTTTGCTAAATAATTGATAGAGAGGTTTTTGATAAATAGAGAGATAGTTTTGATAAGTAATAGAAAGATAAAAAGATTGGATAAAATCCAGAAAGAAAAAAGATAGATTGAAAGAAAGAAATCTTTCATACAGATTCAATAGAAAGACTATGAATTGATATTGACTGTGCAAACCAGAATACGACCACTGCCACAAACCCCTTCCCAAACTTGAACCAAAAGTCCGTCATGTTTTATAATGAGCTGTAATTTGTTCAAATTAATTTTTGGCAAAGTAATCTAAGACCAATAGTGAACCACTGTTACAATATTGAGTAAGTGAGGACTTCTCTCAAAATATTACTGAGTGCCAAAACACCAACAATCTGCCCAAAACCCCAGTTGCCCATTAATTTCTCGGTTGATTTGGTTTATAAAGTAGATTTCTTCTAGTGACTCCACCATCATGAGACATGCGATTAAATATAATGCATTGAAAACTGATTTTGCATTATTTTTACATCTTCATATTAAACAATAATTTTCCAAGGCATTACTCTGTTAAATCAAAGTAAATTATTTTATCACTCATACCTTTCTTTTATTAGTGTTTTCGACTCGATTCAGTTTCTTCTTCGTTACCGAGGCCTGTTGGTACAGTTGGTAGGACGTTTGCGTTGTATCGAAACGGTTCGGGTTCGAATCTCGGTAATTGAAGCGCACTGCTGATGAGTCCCAAAATAGGACGAAACAGTCGACCAGTGCTTTCTGCATTTTGTTGAGAATTCTTCTAGATTCGATGAATTGCTTTAATGATTTGCCTAAATCGTCAATATATATATATATATATATATATATATATATATATATATATGTGTGTGTGTTTGTGTATAGCATCCGTTAAGGGAAGTATTATTTATGCATTAACGTAAATTGTATATGTATGGCAAAGAAAAAAACATGCACCAAATGAAATATACTTTAAATGATTTTTCAAATATCTTAATATTTCTTGTGCTTAATTAATTTTAAAACACCGTTGAAGCGAAATAGACAACAGCAGTAGTAGTAATGATAATACTAGCAGCCGTTGCTTACCTTTGGCAGTACACACAAATATAGTAGAACCCATTTTATGTCAATATGCTCGCAGTACTGTTCCTCTCCTTCTGCTTCCTCTAACGTAACAGAAAGCAAACAAACCACGCAACAAAAATCCAGTAAATGACAATGATATATTTATTCTTTGTTTCAAACTATAAGAACTTATTTTACTCACACTAAATATAGTGTTAACGTAACCTTTGAGTTTCTTGAAATACTGCAGTCATATGAACCTAATAATAACAGTCTAGTCTCGTTCGAAATTACGAATGTATCTATCAATGAAACTAAAAGTGTAGTAATACAAATGTATAAAGGCACTCTTCGCTCCTCCTACCTTCTAATATTAGATAAAAGAAATTTACGCATTTTTTTTTTTATCTTGCACGAAGCAACTATATTTTCATAATCATTATGGAAATATTAAACAGTTACTGACGGCATAACGATGGTTTCATCTTTCTGTTCCACTTTATCCAAAATTTGCTATCACTTGATCCTAATAAATAACCAGGATTTCTCATTTACTATAAAATGTTTACTATCAATAGTACAGATTATGGTATGATGATTTTCTAAGTATAACTTAAATGAGGAACAAGTCCCAAAGTACTGGGCACCCAGTGAGCATCGTCGTTATTGATCTAGCAAGACAAGCTAACTAACAATTACACCACGTAGAAGTGGCCACGGATTATGGTATAGCAGGGATTGTGGAAAGCTCATGTATTGGAACAGTTTTCCTTTGACGGTAAAAAGTTAGGTGAAGGGCTCTCTAAGTGGTTTGAATATGATGGGAGCCATTATGCTATGACTGTAAGAGAGGGGCTGAATTTGCCAAACTCAATTGGTAGATTAAGCAATTATTAGTCCCATTGTTTTTACTTTTTCTTCGGGGGTTTACTGAAGGAGGTGTACAAGTGTATCCAGACTTTGTGGTCATCCCATTCACACACACACACACATATATATATATATATATATATATATATATATATATATATATATATATATATATCTGTGTGTGTTTGATTGAATAATCTAGACATGAGGCTGGCATCCCTCTCACCCTTTCACTGTAGAAACTTTTAAATGTAGCCGTCTCTTCTACTCCAATATCTCGCACCTCTCACCTGTGGAACACCCTTCCCTATCACTGTTTCCCTGGGAGCTATAATCTCCAACTATTCAAATGTAATGTCAATTGACATCTCCAGTTACCTTGATCTATCCACTATCCTTCTCCTCATCCTTTCTTCTATCACTCCTATCTGCTCTCGCTCCCAATCTTCTGCAACCCCCTGCGTCCTAATGGCTTCCCGCCTTGCTCGGGGTGTAATGCTTAAAAAAAAAATATTATGTCTATTTATTTTCATTTTAATCCTCTCAAATTCAAGAATCAATTTATTATTATTGTTATTAAACTGATTAAGAAAGACGCTGTAGTTTTGGCCATTTATTTTATTTTTCTATGCCATCCAAGATCATCATTAGGGGAGAATTGCAGAGATAAAAAGTTAATGCAATTGATAATTGCCATTTTTTTGGTAAAAGAGCATGAAACGCGTTCAGTTATAGTTACTTTAAAAATTAACTGTTGAGAATATCTAAGGGATGTGACTTAATTCATATTTATATCATTAATGTTTTAAAATACTCAACTTGTAATTTGTTTTTGTTTTTTTTTGTTTTTTTACAATTTAAGTATCCAAAAACATTGCTTTTATAGGAATTTTAAAACATTTTTTTCTATACATATAATTAATCTTAGTGTTGGTTACATTCTTTTTATAGAGAGCGCATCAAAAATTTGAAATTTTTATTTTACTTATTTTCATGGTGGAGTATACTTGTATTAATATTTCTCTAAAACATGAATGTGGAGATGAATATTCTTTTAAATGGCGTGCAATAGAACTTGAATCGGCATGTGTAATGTAAGCCTTTTTTATAATGTTGTCATCGTGAAAACAACATATATATTTACTTTTTTACCAGAGATACAATATCCCAAAGGACATTTAAATTGATATATAATGTTGTTTTTTACAAAACATTAATTGACGGAGAAGATTCATTGCGGATGATTAAGCTGGTTGTATTAATTTTAATATTGTACATAATTAGTTTTATATTCTGTTGCGATCAGTGGGGGATATATTAGTACTTATGTGATTTTTTTAGCATTTTTTTTTTTCATCTAATTTGTAGTTAGTGTATTTGATAGGTATAATAGGTTGATATTTTTAGTTATTTGAAGAAGTGGTATGTTCTTTTTTAATTGTGTTAATATTTCCAATAGGTCGTCTAATTTTTTGTCAACAATGAAACTAGGAAAGTTATTAATGAGAGTACGGTTTTTTTTATTCCCGTGTAGAAAATTTTTTTAATGAAAGAATTAAGTTTTGCACGGTTTATTAAAATTTGTATAATTGCTGCTTTGTAATAGGACTTTCTCTTTTATATTTGAGAAAGCATGTGTTTATGCTAGTTAGTTTTTTATATGGGAAGGCAGTAAATTTATTACTATTGGTATCTATCAATATATCAAGAAAAGGAATTCTGTTGTTATTGTTAAGTTCATATGTGAACTTAAGAACGAAGGTTTTGTAAGTTTTTTGTAGTTCATGTATTTCATCTGTTTTTAACTAGGATGCAAATATCATCTACATATCTTCGGTAGTTGAAAGGTTTTTTAGTGGTATCAAATATCTTATTTTCACAGTTAGCCATGTATAAGTTACTAAATGCTGGTCCCAGAAATGAACCCGTGGAAACGCCATCGCGTTGTACGCATCTATTATTTTGATAGTCATATAAGTGAACCTCAGTAGCACAAGTAATTTCCGTAATATGTTAGGTTTAATTTTTAAAACTACGGCGTCTTTCTTAATCAGTTTAACAACACTAAGAAACTGATCCGTGAATTCGAGAGGATTAAAATAAATAGACATTATTCAACCAAAGTGTTTGAATGAAAATATGCTGAGTAAATCTAAGCACACTTAATCAAAGTACATTGTCAGTCTTATTTAACGAAATATTCTGTTTTCCTATCGCGTAACCATGTATAAGGCGTGCATTTTTTAAATCCTTCCATCCGAACCAAGACGATAATGCCACTGAGACGTCAGGGTTTACTGAAAGAGAATTAAAAGAATTTAGTGAGGAGAAAGGACAATAAAAGAACAGGTTTCAGGAAGACATGATATGGCGATTACCATTGCATTTAATTTTTTGAGGAACGTAGGTGGCAGGGGAGCATGGAGCTGGGAGAGTTCCACGGGGAGAAGTGCGAAAGAAGAAACGATTAGAATAGAATTTACGGCTGCATCTAACTTTTAAAACAATAGCATAAAACTACTCGTAGCAGGATAGGCGAACATCAGGCAAAGCTCATATTTTTTACAATGGGTAAGTTTTTTCTGTATTTCTTATATTTTAAATGGAGCACTGTGTCCTAGTACCATTCTTATCTTTGACACAGATTTTATTATTAAAATTGGTATATATACTCAAAGTATGAAATGTTATACTTCCATTGGTTACATCAGCATAATTGTTATTTGGTAATTATAAAATTAAGAACAACTGGATGATGAAAAAGATGACAAACTCCTAAACGACTCAATGAAAAAAGAGGGCTTGGAGAATTTAAAGCTCACGTCATATACTGAACTCAAGAAATCTACTTAACTTGCCTCGGTGAGTAGATATCAGATAAAGGGTAAAGACGGACGGTAAAAGGGAACAAAATTTCTGAGAACAACAAAAACGAGACATCAGAGTCTTAATTGCCGATACTTTTGCAAAAAAAATAAAAGAATGAAGAAAAATCTACCGGTTGCAGAAACCTCTTTAAATCTAATGGAAACTAGAGAAAGAAATTATTCCTTCCAATTTAGTTGTACTTTTATTTTGTCAAACATGCAACATATAAGTTTTATGTGCTTTTAGGGGTCATTAACAATTCAGTAGACAATTCAAAGTCGACTCGCCAAAAATATACAGTTTTCAAGATAAGTCAAATCGTAAAGCCTAAGAAAACTAATGAGACCGAAGGAAAGGAGCTTTTTTCTAATTTCAATCAGACAGATTTCTAAGCATTACACCGAGTCTTGAACAACAGTAATATTTTGGGAATAAATATAGATTAAATTAGAAATGTTCAAGGAAAAGAAATGATTCTCCGAATGTGAAGAAGGGGAATGTTTCTCCTCGAAATACAAAATCAGTTTGTGACGTTTTTATGGGGAAAATTATTCCCGCTAGGAATTGACAGATGATGTGTTCATGAGCTAAATGATAAATGGTAAAACTTAAGAAAGAGGAACGAAGAAATTGGCTTGTTTAAGAAGAAAGAAATCAAGAACGAATGAGCGATTGAACAAGAGAAAGAAACAACGAATAATATGAGCAGAATGAAAGAAAAAAGAAAAAAAAAAGGAACCAAAGATGAAGAAAACGCAGAGAACATTTGATTTTTTTTTAAGTCAAAGCAACGCGAAAAACATCGGAACACTGATAATTTCTCTGAAAAACTAACGAGTTCGAAGAAGCGGAAAATCTATTAGATCTACTTTAGTGCAAAATATTTGAGAGACATTTGTGAAGTTGGGTTTTTTTTAATCAAGGATGAGAATTGTCAGCAGGAATATTACGCCTTCATTTATTTTTACTATTCTCTTGTCTAAAACAAAAATATTTTTTAAGTGTGAAAAGCTATGAAAAATACATGGGAATGGCAATTCTTTTTAAACTTTCATCAACAGATGAGAGGAATAGATATAGGAAGAATTAAAATATATGTGACCAGTGTTCCTTCAGGATGCGAGCGATCATGGCTCTAAACAGTTTCCTATCCTTCGTAATTCTTGGCATTGTTTGTCATTTTTCTATCTCTGTTTTTCTTCTGCCATTCATTTAAACAAGTTCATTAGGTAGGTTACGTTCCCATGTTCCCGTACTATTACCGAAGTTAAGCAACGTCGTGCCTGATCAGTACCATGATGGTTGACCGCTTGGGAATACCAGGCGATGACTACAGTTTCCTATCCTTCGTAACTCTTGGCATTGTTTGTCATTTTGCTATCTCTCTTCTTTTTCTTCTGCCATCCATTTAAACAGGTTCATTAGGTAGGTTACTTTTCCCTGTTCCTGTACTATTACCGAAGTTAAGCAACGTCGTGCCAGGTCAGTACTTTGATGGGTGACCGCTTGGGAATACCAGGCGCTTTAAGCTTAGATGTGCGGGTGGTATAATGGATAATGGCTCGGATTTCTTAATCAGAATTCCAGTTCCAGTTGAGTTAGTTATATTCACTTTCGCGTAAATACCCTTGGGAAAGGTATCAACCCATCCCCTTTCCCTACCCCCAGATATAGGCTAATTAGTAAGACTTATATCACTAAATATTAAAAAAAATCTTGTAATCTAAAAATATTTTCTGACTTTAAATAACCTACAAGGGTTGATAAACCGTAGAAAACGAATAAATCAATCAACCTCTTACATTTAATATGCCCAGTGAGGGTTTAAATTTTTCCTGGCCTTCTTTTCTCATTATGTGACTGAGAAGAATTTCAACGGTCTCTTTCTGAATATATCTATAATTGTCCTTTTTGTTTGCAATTTCTTTAAAATGTTCTTTTTACTTACATGTTCCGTCCATGGAATTCTCAAAATCATTCTGTATAAGCACATTTTTATTGTGCCGAGTTTTCTATTCATCTCTGATGAAATTGTACAATATTGATTGCCATATAGGAGGATTAATATTACATAGCTGTCCAGCAATATTTTTCATTGTTTCTAATTAACTTTTTTCGGTATCCTACTGTGTTTATGTTTGTTTTTTGGATGTCCTCTTTTTCTATTCCAGTGCAGCTTCGCATTTGTTCCCATATGTTTAAACTTCTGTACTTATTTGATTTTAGCAACTCCAATTCGTAACTCTCATCTTGTTTTGTTTTTTTTTTCCTTTTGTTGGCCACCATTGATTGTTAGTTCTTTTCTCCCGCTTTTCTTTACGACGTTTTCCATGAACTACTGCAGTTTTACGTACATGCAGTTTGCAGTTCAGAGACTACATCATTTTCTCTTTAAGCGATTTTATGCTTATTAACTAAACAAATTGGCAGAGTCAAATCTCTGACCTCTCTCTCTCTCTCTTCACTCCTTTATTCTGTCGCCTGCAGTCAGTTTGAAAATGTGGGAGAGGAAAAGGTATGAATAAGTAGGTAATGAAATACTTAATTCTGGTTAATTTGTGTGAAATCTACCTAAATCGGTGAATTGTTGTTTTGAACTGAAATTGTTCGAAACAAGAAAAAAAAAGAACTTCCTGGCAATGAAAGGTTTTAAATCTTTAACATTTTCCGTATAATTTAAAGCTGTGTGATTCAATGTTTCTAACTACACAAATTTAAATTCCGATAGCAGACTGAAGCATTCCTTCGTCTGCAAACAGCTGAACAAATCTCTTTAAAATCGAGACGTATTATGTAAGATTCATTCATTTTTTCTTTTTTAGAATAATGAAATTACTTTTCCATGAAAAGCTTAATGGAGATTTAATTAGGCGCAGATGATGCTTGTTACCTGATATAGGACTACTGCGTCTTATAAACGTACTCTATATTCTACATGCTTCATTCTTCATGAATGTTTGTCAGTTTAAGTCATGGGTTTTACGGAAGATGATTTGTGACAAAGAAAAGGCAAAAAGAAAATTATTCCTGTCATTTTCGAGAGGCTGATTTCGTTAATGTCGCATTCACTTTTCTTTAGATAATTATTTAAACCCTATTTATTTAAGAGTGGATTTAAATGTCGCAAACACAATGAAATACATGAGGATGCGACTGTTTTGAGAGCTCTTATCAAAACAGAAATTGGACAGCTTTTTTCTTTAATCACTTTTCAAAGAGCCAGGTTTCCTATTCAAATAATCACGACACAATAGCGTAAAGATTTTTCTAGCTAAGAATTAAATAATGCGTGTAACCTTAGTTTCAGATAAATAAGTATGAAAAGAAGAGCAGAAAAGTTAAACTTTTGAGTAGTATTTCAGTTACAGAATTCTTAGCCGTCTTTCAAAAAATCGATCGAGGAAGACCAGTTTTCCAACTCTGGTTACATTTAAAATCAGCATTCGAAAGTTTAGCTTTTATTATACCTGTTGCGTTTCGTGTCGTTTGTCTCTGATTTCATTTTCTCAGGCTCCAACGCTGCATCAAAGACTGAATAAACGACCAATGATTTTCATTTTTTTTTTTTTTATCTCAGTTTATTTTGTCGAGCATCCTTTTTTAGGGTCGGGGAGAGAGATGATCGTGAAGACCCCTGTCAACTGGTTGGCGAAAACCTCATCACCACGTGCTGACTTGCCTCACTAAGGAATCTGGATTCGAGAAGAATGCTGAACTTTCTAAATCATGAAGCCCTCTGAGTGTTGCGCCCTTTTCAAAACTTAATTATAGGCAATCCGTCACCGTCAGAATTACATGACCACAGGGTTAAAACCACCCCCAACTCAATTCGTGTCATCATAGTTTTGACCTGTAATTTGCAATTTCAGGACAGCCGGTGGAATATCTTCAACCTCCAAGTTAGCCTATCATATTTTAATATTCATCCAAATAGTTATGAGAATGAAGAAAAATAGTCGTTTCCATACAGGTATTATTCGGCATTGATTGACCGAACGGTTAGCATTACTGTAGGTTGAAATTTTAGGGAAACTATCTCTCAAATCCACTGTTAAAGCACTTTCTCTTATTGCGAATTTCCTTCCAAACATTTTGTTTTCAGTAGTGTGGAAAGGTAATAGCTTTATGTATTTTTTCTCTTCTATTTACATATATGCTAACTATTTTTACTTTTTACTATTGTTGGAAGCGTTCTAGTTACGTGGTTTTTGTTATATAGAATAGCATTTCGTGATTTTTAGCACCAGTTTATAAGCTCTAATGATTGTCTTGAAGATTTCAAGGATTTATCCGTTTTCTTTTTTTCTGTTCAGAGCACGCACAACCCTGTAACGGTGTGAATAAGCGTATCACTTGGAGGAAGCTCTGTAGTAGTTTTTTTTTTTTTTTTTTTTTTTCCACGTGCGAATGCAAGTAAAAGGCTCTGTGTCTGCCACTCGCTGACACAACTTTCAGAACAGACGCTGTCGTCAGTTTCCTTCCAAACACCCCACCCCGACACACACTAACACACTACTCAAGATTCCTTTGTCAGTCAGTGACCGGTGAATTCTCAAGCTGCATTAAAGTACAATTTCCTGTGACTAGGATTGAAGAAAAAGAAAGTAGATCTCCGCTTTAAAATCGATTAACGATTTTTTTTTTTTAAACAAAATGTGGCCAGTGCCGGAACTGACTCTCTTTCGCTTGGACCGCCGCATTTCTTGGTGGACTAATGTGATAGCCATTTTAGAGAAAAACTCTGATACATATTAAAACGCGTTGCGATTATTGCTTGAGGCATTCTTTTCAATTTGTTCATTGAATATTCTCCACTGAATATTATTTCTTTATAACTTTTTTGCCGTCTTTTAATAAATGCAATCCAGTTATTCCTTGGCTAAATAGAAGTTTCTATTCACGGAGAACTCCTACGAAGAGATACCGTCAGAAATGTCACTTTCGACAGACGAGTTCTTTTCTTTTAAATTAAGTCCGATATTTTCGGGTGAGTAGAAATATTTTGGTGTGTTCAGATATATCGCCTATTGTCAGTTTTTAAATTGTCTTCTGACAAAATTAGTGTAGACACCAAAATTTGCTAAAAATAAAAAAAATAAAAAAACTTATTTAAATTTGCCTTTTTCTCCCACGTAGAGGGAACCCCGAGATGAAATACGTGAAACTCTTAGTAAAGATATCTTCCGCCGATAAAAATTAATCTATAAAAAATATAAAAACTGTATAAATTAACTTAGTTATATCATAAAGTAATGTATAATAAAATTATTTCATGAAATTTTGAATAACAATCTAGCAAACGTAAGATAATAGGCAAATAAATGTATATTAACTATCGAAATAATACACACTATAATATAAGAGTTGATTCTCTGTCCGTCACACACATCTGCGTGTGACTTTGCACACACGTATGTCCTGAATATGCATATATGTACCATGCTTGAGTGACTTAAATGCTATTGTGTTATTTAATGTACACGCAAGCACACACACGCACGTACAATTTGACTAAGTCTGAAAGAAGACATTAATACTATCGTGATGTTCTGGTGATGCGTTGGCTTTGTCTAAATATCATTTTTAGGGCACCACGAGGCCAAAACGAGCTACAATATTATAAACAAAATCATATATTAGATAAGAAATAAGCATAAAGAACGATAAATTACTTTAGTATACCTTTCAAAGAAATGACTGTATATTTCATATATGTATACAGAAATAAAGAAATTTTGCTTATCTGTTGGTGGCAACATGTTTAATCCCAACTGTCCAGAACGTTTGCCTTTTTCGGTGGTCGGAAAACAAACACAAAGTTTTGATTTTTGTTTCTTTTAGCGGTAAAACTCTTTTTCTTATGCATCATAGGAATAAAGAAAGAAGTTAGATTATAAAAACAAGATAAATATAGAATATTTACATCTGTATTTAATTTTTTTTTATTATTAATTCCATTACATAGTCTACTAATCAGAGCTGGGAATTATTTAGTAATTTATTTATTTTGATCTCCCTACCTGAATATTCTAAAAGCAAATTAAAGCGCATATTTTCCTTTAATGATATTTCTCGAATATGCAGGCCGGTAAACGAAAATGTATAAATATACTATACTGTTTAATAATCAAATGGAGCGTTGATCTAATATGAGTAGCAACTGAAAATAACGTTTAAAGTGATAAAAATCTTTTGGATGGATAAACAAGATCCCTTGCTTTAGAAAATTACTTTGTTTACGTTTGGATACGAAACTGAGTAGATATGAAAATTTCGAGGTATTTAATACGAAAAAGATTTCGCTTAAAGGCAAGTTTCAAACAGACATATATATAATTGTGTATTTGGGAAGCAATCCTTCTTTTATGCAAGCTTCACTGAAAACGACTGACAAGGTGTGATGATTAAATTGTTTATATAATTTCTCATGTGTTTCTATTTATATATATTTTTTTCTTTTCAGGACATAAATTATATAAAAATTTAGTGTTTTGTGCTACTGTTGGTTACCTTAGAAAAAAAAA